ATCAATCATCAATCAATCCGATCATCCTCGATGCCACTTGTAGCCAAAGATACCACAATAACCCTCCTCCTTTGTCCCTTATTGGCTCGTGTGTTCCATTCCTTGGCTGCCTCTCCCTCCTTTGCATATCTACACACCTGCTCTGAATAAGCCTCATTAGTTCTTCCCTGCTTCCAAAGTCTTTCGCAGCCAATCATCTCACTGCCTTTTCTGCTTCCTAATCACCTCATTCCCCGCACCTGAGCTCATCATGTGTATCTTTAAGTTCCTGTTTCTGCAGTTTCCATCCATCTGCTCCACACTTCATGACTTTACTGTCGTTTTTCCATGTCAGTATGTAGAAATATGCACATAATTGATGACCATTACTTTACTATTCACTATTACAACCTGATTGCGTTTAGATTAAATTGCATTCTCATGAACTTTTAATTATTGTGCTGTTTTTCCTTCTGAGGCTAATAACATATTAACCAGGTCAGCAGCTGACTTATGCATTAAATACAAAGTGTAATGTCACCCAGATGAGTTCTGTGGTGTAGTTCTGTTTAATAGAATAGGTTCGCACCCAGCATGGAAGCTCCCCGAGCTGCGGGTTGGATGTGTGCAACCTTCATTTACTTTCCCTCACTTTCTTTTGAAGTTGGGGATAAGATAATAGAGAGATAATGTGTGCGTTAGCAAGGTCATCTCCCAGTATAGTGTTCTAATTATGGGCCCGATGTCCCTTGCAGTGGAGTGTCTGTGCATATAATGAAGTAGAAAAACTTCGATTTGGCTGCAGCATGAGAATAACCCACCAAAGTTACTCGAGGGATGCTATGGTTTGTTTTTTATAATACTTTCATTATTATCAAAATGATTAAACATGTACACATCATACATTTGTATATTGGATAGTGGTGGTCTAATGGATAGTGAGATAGTGAGGTGGGCTGAAGATCGGAAGGTTGTGAGTTCAAAATCCCGCCAGGAACACCACCACTAGATGCCCTTGAGTAAGGCACTTAGCCCTTAGTTACTCCAGGGAGAATGTCCCTGTCATTGGTAATTGTAAGTCGCTTTGGATAAAAGCGTCAGCTAAATGAAATGTAATGTAATGTATGCAGTTACAGCATGGATTTAACCACCATCCCAAATCTAAAACAGTCAGCATCACCAGAAATGACTCTCATATTACTACAGAGATGGAGCTACTGAATTGTGGCCAAGCAGCACAACATGGGACCCTGTCAGACTCCAGATAAACCACAAACCAAGCAGAGCTGAGCCAAAAACTCCCAAAGCAAAAACTCAAAAGTCCCTGGCCACCCTGCCTGAGAAACAGCTGACGTCAGCTGTCTCAGCAGACCGCCCACTGCGATATGGCTCCATTTCCACTGGATACAGATGAGAAACAAAGTCGGCATTAAAGAGGAGGGATAACTAGCAAACTAGAGGGCTGCTGTAGAGTGACTGATTAACAAAACGAGACAGGAGAAGAAGAGAGGATAAGTATATACGGGAAGAACGGGGAGAATGCTCATTTGAGTGGAGTGGGAGATTAAATGGAGCCATATCAGGTCATGTGCCTTCCAGAGACAAGACCCTAATCTCCTCACACACTCACACACACACACACACACACACACACACACACAAACACACACACACACACACACACACGCACACTTTAGCAGAAGTGAATGCCCTGTACGTTAGACATTATGCAATACATTGTGCAATGTAAGTGCATATGTTTAAATGCACTGCAATGTGTTCAAAATAAAAACATTTCTGTGAACCACCCTTTAAATGTGTGTCAAAGAGTTTGTGTGTGTGTGTGTGTGTGTGTGTGTGTGTGTGTGTGTGTGTGTGTGTGTGTGTGTGTGTGTGTGTGTGTGTGTGTGTGTGTGTGTGTGTGTGTGTGTGAAAGAGACAGAGAAAGAGTGAGTGGATGGAGGTTAGTGTAGCGTAACTAGAGCGAAAAAAGTTCCCCCAGAGCCGTTAATAAAAGATGACGCTGCAAAATGGATACCGGCTAGAGCTCCAAGATGACATGACAGAAAAGGATATGACTGATATTCCTTTCCTATCTGTCTTCCATGTGTTTTCTTGTTAAATATTAATGCGTGTTTGCTGTTCTTTTACACTTATAAAACTGAAATACTACACGAATGGCCATGTTGGGCATTGTGATCCAATTATCAAGAATCACAGATGCTAACACCCTGCGTGCTACGGACACAAATCAGATTTATGACAATTGCAGTGATTTTTAAGCAAACAAAAGCATTATACTATGGATTCATGGTGTATCAAATGGAAGAGGGACTCGTACATCTGGCAGGGCTGGTGTTATGGCTGCCCCCCCCCGTAACTTCGGCCAGGATGATCATAATCTCACAGAAATCACACTGGTGTTAGTTATTCTCCTTTAGTTTAAGCAAATAAAAAAGCATTTTATTCTGGATGTTTTAAAATGTACCTTATTAACTGAGTCTTAAATTGTTTTTTGATAAGTCCTACTTAGTATTTAAAGAAATTATGAAAATAAACGAATTAAGTGTTTCAAAATGTACATCTCTGTGAGTGCTGGTCAACCCCCTCAGCAGTTCTTGGTGTAATGTAATGTTGGTGGTTCTAGTGTTAATGCGTTAGAAAAGATCTATACTTTGTACTGTGTATACATTAAGGACACAGTTCAGTTTCACAGTTAAGTTTGTATGCAACTGTGATACTAACTCTGTCTCTACACATAATTAATCTGAGAAGCCCTTGAAAAGTCCTTGTCAGGGTTTTTATGCATTTATATAGAAATAATATGGTTTTTTCATTTGCATAATTACCTTCTGCACCACAACACAGTTTTACCTAAATGAAGGAGAATGGCAGGGGCTTGTCAACCTGCTTAAGACCAACCATGAATAGATAGATAGATAGATAGATAGATAGATAGATAGATAGATAGATAGATAGATAGATAGATAGATAGATAGATAGATAGATAGATAGATAGATAGATAGATAGATAGATAGATAGATAGATAGATAGATAGATAGATAGATAGATAGATAGATAGATAGATAGCTGGATAGATAGATAGATAGATAGATAGATAGATAGATAGATAGATAGATAGATAGATAGATAGATAGATAGATAGATAGATAGATAGATAGATAGATAGATAGATAGATAGATAGATAGATAGATCGATCGATAGATAGATGTGTTTTCTCCATGCTTAAGGGTGAACTGGTTTGTTTGAGAATATATCTAAATATTAATGACATTCAGCGCCTAAGGCAGAATTGTAATGGCTGTTCACTTACTTATCCAGCTTCTGGCTTGCTACAGTAATTATCATGCCACACTTGTCCTGTTGAATTCACATATGCTTGCTTTGGAAAGAAGCAGAAAAATAGTAGTCAGTGCCATTTCTTTGTTCTGAGTTGTTTCTATAATTAGCTCAGAGTGGTAATATACAGTATCATACTGTGCGCAGGCTGTTAAAGAACTAAAAATGAGCTTGTTTGATACGAGATATTGTCAGTGTCTAAAAATAGGCATGTTGGCGAGTAGGAAACTGTGCAGTTCTACAGTACATACAGGGAAGGCTGATCAATTGTCTCTCACATACAGAGGCAGGGAGGAGCTGTCCTTGGTGCTGAATCAGCCACCCGCACTTGGCTTCTGGTGCTCTCTGCAGACTGCTGTGTCTGTCTGGTCGCCTGTGGCTCTAAACACAAGTGTTACACACCATCGTTGTTAACGTGTTGTGTTTTTTTCAACTACTTTAAGATTCTTTTCAGCACTAGCAGGAAAGCTACAAAAAGCAGTAGGAGCGATTTCCTTTTTGTTTGGAGCTTTTGGTGTACTACTCTACTCATAATAGATTAAGATGTTCTTTTGCTAGTTGCTTGTTTAGTACAACTTAAGCAGAACTGAAACCTTAGGTTAATGCAGGTATAGGTACAGGACAAGCATGCACCTGTAAGGGTCTTTTGTTTCATAAGAGCAAGAGCAGGATTCATTGTTATTTGTTCTGTTGTTTGCTTGCTTGCCAAGGATGAATACATCTAATTAAAACCAGATTTATGTGAAGACACGGAGAGCAGAAGAGGGAGTTTTCAGATTCTTTATTTTAGTGAAAGTACTTATAACTTAATGTTAAAAATGTTTGCTTAAAGTAAACATCTTGCCTTCAAAATCCCACAAGTACAAACATATATTGTTTACATTTGTGCATTTTGCTTTTTAAATGTCGTTGTACCTGTACAATGACAATTGTACGTGCACAATATATCAACACAAAATCATATTTTATTATTTTGTAGCATTAGTCTGAATCTTCACGCAGTTACATTAGACAAAGATGTAATTGCCTTCATGCAATCAATCATACAATCAATCAAACATACAATTCATCATTTCCATCATTGATTTTTTTTTTTTTTATTGAGTTTCATCTTGATTATGGACAATGTGAACGTGAATCTTATTGTAATACACCTTAAAGTAAAGATGTAAACAACTAAGCTGCAGTACACACACGTTAAAAACTGTAGAATTCAATCTTATGCCACACATTTATCTGAGCCAATCAGATTGCGCTCCACCTGTCACCTCTGGCGTATTTTGAGACGTCTCGACCAATCAGGACGAGCAAAGCTCCTCGTCACGTCGAAATCAAAGTTGTTGTAAGAGCGGAGGAAAACTGGCCGGTGTTTGAGAGAGAGGCGGTGGACAAACCCACCGGCAGCGGCTACCGGATATTTTCTCCCGCTGAATGCATCCTTACCGGTCTTTTCTGCACCGAACAACAGCTTTAAACCAGTAAGACGAAGCACCTTTTTACGGAATACCGTGCAGCACCGGTGAAAGATGACTTGACAGTTAAACCGACTCTACCTCTTCGGACTGTAGCGATGTATTAAAATTCTGCGTGCATATTTCCCCCCCCATTCCTCTGTCACCGTGGACAGTTTGGCTGTTGAAGGAGCATTTTCTGCGGAGCATACGACATGACGGAAATCAGCGAAAAGGAGAACGAACCACAAAACCGGGACTTTCACCGAACACAGCCTACCGTGCCCAGCCAGCAAGAATCAAAGGTACCAACACACCTGTACGCTATTCCATTGATTTAACCCATGACAAACAGACATGTGGCTATTCTGACTAAAGCAAGGTTTTCTCTAGTTTAATGTGTCATTAAAAATAGTGAAATCGTATTTAATCTTATCTATTTTGGAGTCATGTGTTATGGTTATGGTATGCATTACTTAATAAGGTGCCTTCTGTCTTGCAAGGCTAATTCTGTAGTGGTTGCATGTCTTGCATAACAACTGTAAGCCGCTTTAATAGCTGCTTTAATAGCTGCTTTAATTCTTGTAACTACCCTGACCTCAAAGTAAGCAGAGGGCAGAGATTACATGAAAGTGTGTGTATGTGTGTACCTGTGTGTGTGTAAGAGAACTACAATTATGGACTAAACACAAGTTATGGATAGCTGCAGGTAGAGGCAAGATAAGAAATATCCTGTGAGGCAGTTTTTGGTTGGGCTTCACTTTGATTTAACGTAGACATCAATAATATTGTGTACATGCAGTAAATGTTGGAGGTGTGCAGTACAGCGTCCAAGCAGAGGAGTTATGAGCCTGTGCCTTGCATCCATTATCTTGGAAAAAAATCAAGGGGACCATCACAAGAACCAGGGTGGCAAACATTGCACATGCATCGACAGAATAAGATGCCAATTCATTTCACAATCATCCCCATTTTTAAATGCTTTTCTCTGCTTGAATATCACCTGCCCTCCAGATATGACACAAACACATTAATACAGTATTCTGAAACCATGTTGCATCCTGAGTTCATATTGCGATCATGATATTGGATCACAAGACGTATCTGCTTTCTGTATGGTCAGAGATAGGAGGAGATGGGTTTTTGCACTAACAACATGGAATTCAAATAGATGAATGAAGAATATATCATTAATAGTTTAGGATTGCTTTAATTTATTTGTCAAATGACTCAATTGCTAATCTTCTTATCCTACTTCTCGGCTTCTTTCAGAGTTAATACAACATGTTCTAAGTATTTCTGTTCGGAGCTTTATATCATATGCTGCCATACCACCCTTGCGAGGGAGGTTACTAACATCATTGAGGAAACAACATAGGTTTAGAAAAAGTCACTCAGAGAGCCTCCGCAAAGGCCAAATGCCAAAAAAAACATATCTTTTATATGCCTTGATATTCAGATCTATTCCCTTCCTTAACCCCACCCTTCCATCAACTGTTAAGGAATATCCGACCAGTCGTTTTCAGCATAATCCTGTAAACAAACAAACTTAACCCAAAACATAACCTTGTTTGCTCAGGTTGATGTATGTTAAATGAAAGCCTCTTTAATAAGTTGCCTCAAGATTAGGAAGAAAAGTATTACCCACCTTAATGCATTTCTCATGTTAGCAATATTCCCCAACTCATTTTTGATCAAACAAGCACAAACCACCAAACACATTTTTTCCAAAAGCTTTTGGGGGAAGTATTTTCTTTTAAAGATTTGACTTGTTGTTGCTGTTTGATCTTTCATGACAAAAACTGGAGCTGAACTTCAAAGTGGGAGAATAAACTCCCACTTACAGTACCGACTTGACCTACATTTCCTACAGAACTTTTTTTTTTTTTTTTTTTAAATGTTCAAATGTGCTTCAAGAAGGGCTTTAATTGCGGCAGTAATCGCAACAACAAATCCCATTAAGGCTGGCTTTTGTTAGTCATCACCACGGGGACCAGTAACAAGCCTAGCAGGACGGGCCCCTTGTTGTTTCTATTTGACTATACAGACACACACAATGGATGGTGGGCGTTGAGGTGCTTGGTGAATTTACGAGCCTATCAGCTAGCAGATGTTTGCTGTGTCTTGCTGTGGGCTGGGTCATAATTCACACAAATGGTGGTCCAGGCAAAACAGAACAGGGTGGAAACAATCCTCCGTACTGCGTCAGCCGTGGAGCTCGGTGTTTGCCAAGCTGGCAACAGTGCCCGCTCCACATCCCTCCGAAAAAAAGAATGAAGGGGGAAATGAAGATTAAATGTGTGTTGCAACCACAGGGTCTCTTTTCTGCTACAGGGTATCTAGAGCTTCTTTCTGCCACTCAATATCCTTACTTCTGTAGCCTACTGTATTATTTCACAACTATTTCAACCCTTTGCTCTGCCTCTTCTGCCTCACTGTCTGTCTCTTCCTCAGTTCCTCATATCGCCTCTCTCTGCAGTCTTTCTCATCTCTTCATCAGCTCTCTCTCCTTCATCTCTCACTCTCCACTCCCTCTCTGTCCCCCGACTGTCCCTCAGCTCTCGAGTGTTTATTACAGTGATAAGTGGGCCTACCAGCTTTCTAGAGTGCTTCTAATACTGTAGATGCAGTGACAGAGAATGAATAGTTATTCCACCCCTACACCTACGGGCAAGGTGATGGCTCTGAAACTATTATTATTCCTCTCTAATCACTCGCAGCGCACGCCATTCAAGTGTTTTTCATCTGGTGGTACTACAGTAGCCATGGTAAAGTAGATGACGAGTTACGAAAGACAAAACAGTGGTTAAAGCAATACATTTACATTTAGTCAAATACACCTATCCACTTTGACAAGAGTTAGATGAATTTGATACCACTCTTTGTCCGTAGTGTCTGACATTTATATTTTGAAGAATGGTAGGTCAACAAATCCAGGGACTAAGGTTATTTTTTCAAACCATACATATTTGACTTTACCTCATATACTTTAACCCTGCATGTTTGTTAACTAATTATGATTTTAAAACATTAAAACACGGGGCAATAAATAGCATGGACCAAAGAGGACACACTCTGCTTATTTATCACAATATATTTTTGTTTATTTTGTCCGCACAATCTATGCTATAAAAATGTAATTGGGGTTATGCTGGCTTTTTTTCTTTTGGCCAAGACCAGTAGCTATTGGTGAAATGTGGTTATAAGTGACTTTTTAAACTCCCAGTAGGCACATTTTGTTACTTTTGGATGTCTCCAGGCTAGCTCTTTTTGCCCTGTCGTTACCTTACAGTGGTATCAATCTTCCTGTAGACTTATTGGCATAATAAACAACATTTTCCAAAGAATGAACCATTAGAGGCGTAAATGAGACCTTAGCTGAAAATAATCTGACACATAAAGTTCAGTTTTAACCGACAGCAGGTGTAAATGCTGATAATGAGTGCCCTGGTCTCCGGGGGCCTTCACCCAACACATCACTTTCTCAGCCGGCACAAAGACAACGTTCTTTTCACTAACTTCCTTATCATCCCCTTTTGTCTCTCTTGGTTATTATTTATTTCTCTCTCCATGTATGTATTTCATGTCCCTGTATTATTGACTGTGGCCCAGTTAAATGAAACCCAACACCTTGTCTTTTTCCACCTGCTTTTCCATCTCTCCTCGCCTTACTCCATTAATATCTCAAATTCCTCCTTCCTTTCCTACATTGTCCTCTTCCACCATAGCTCTGAGCGGCTGGCTGATGATGTGCTTGAGAGGATGAGGGCGATTTTAAGAATAGGATATCACGCCAGAGGTCAGGACAGGAATGACAGAAATGGAGAGAAAGAGAAAGTACACCTGTGGAGAGAAAAAGGCATGAAAAGGAGATAAGAAACTGCACAAAAACAAGAGAATACCACATTATTAAAACAGAAAAATGGAAGGGTTACGTAAGATATTAATCCGATGGGTAACATACTGGACAGTGGCGAGTGTAGTCATTTACTGTAACTACAGTTTTTGTTAATTAAGACTCAAAATTACTTTTCTTAATTGAACATGAAAACAATCAATTTGTTATTGCTACAGTTCATGAAACAAATCATTTAAAAGCTATCAAGCCAAACATTGGAAAATGATTCAATACTGTTTTATTAATTTCGTTTTGGACGTAGCGTTAACACTTTATTTGACTTCTGAATTCTTCTCTCCGAAGGCAACTAAAGTTCCTAAATGGGTTTTTCTGATGTGCCCTAGCATGTGTCTGTGCCATCATATGATCTGCGGTGTAGATGACATGTCTGCACAGCGTATACCTCATGTTTGTATCCTCTGTATCCCTTGGCGCAGGAGGACAATCACTCACTTCTGTCAGACCACAATATGTTTGTGGTTCTCCTGAGTCCTGCCAGAATGATTGACTTGTACTGCAGACCTTTGAAAAAACTATAGTCTGCACAGAAAACAGATAAAGAGTTACAGAAATAGATACAATGACGGAGAAGGGAAGAGATTGATATTAGGAAAGACAGACATGAATAATGGGACATCAATACTGTTTTATGATTCAATGCAAACCAACTTTTTGTACTTTACATTGTCACCGCTGTGCTCATGTATCTAATGTTGATCCAGCACCTTTTGGATTAATGATGATTGAATTACTGTACTTGATTGAGTTCTAAAATGCTGCTGAGACGGCAGATTCCCACGTGCGATGACGGGTAGGAGCAGAGTCAGGAGGGAATACATGTGGACTTTATTTAGTCCTTTGTTTAGTACTGACCTTAGGTTTGGAGAGGTTGGACTTCAGAGGTTGTTTTGTAAAAGCAAAAAGATGTTTAATTTAATGGACTGGAAGAAATACAGTTTTATAAAGAGAGCTTCCGCTCTGAACGGCTGTTTCACCTTGAAGAGGACTAGAAAGTACACTTAGCTGCGAGACTTTTGAATGCATCAACAAATAATCATGTAGACAGCAACTTTGGTTAAACTTTAATATCACTCCTTCATTAGCGGTTAGAATAACATTACATTATTAAAGTTTTTAAAAAAATAGACTTGACTTTCTCTCCACCCTGGTTTATGAATGACATTAATCATGTCAGGGTGGCTCCTTTACATTTTCCCTTCATTTATCCTAAATAAAGATGACTGAATTTACCTAAAGGTCAAAAAAGAAGGTCATGCTTTGAATGTAAATATAATGATCTTCTCCTGTACACATCTCGGTGGCCCCAAGGCTATGGAACAAACTCCCCCAGAAACGAAGAGCCTCTGCCTCAATAGAGATCTTTAAGGGGCAGTTAAAGACCCACCT